TGACAGTGACATAAAAACGGCCATGACATGGGGGGAGAGAGGAGAGAAAAAAAATTTATTTTACCGGAGAAAACTTGACAATCAAAAAAGGGAAAGAATATTGTCCAAACTCGAAAATCCTATTTTGGAGAGAGAGAGAGAGAGAGAGAGAGAGAGAGAGAGAGAGAGAGAGAGAGAGAGAGAGAGGGGCGGGGTCTAGGTTTCAACTTCTTTAATAACCCTTTTTTAATTCAAATATTACCCTCATTATAATGATCTTGTTTGTCTTCCTTCACTTTGTACGAGTATTTGATACGCAATGAGCAGATCGACTGATAATAAAAGCCCCCCCCCCCCCCCCCCCACTTCGTCGCCCGAGGAGCGTTGTATTATATTTCTCCAACCAATACCGAAAATATTCATTATAATAATATCCAAAATTTGTATTAGGTAATATCCGGAACAGCACATGCGAAATTTATAGCATATATGAAAAGAGGCCTATGGGTAACACTTCTTGTTTAATTATTTGTGTAAATTATCAGCTCATACACGGACTGCTGAGAAACAAGAAATTACCGCTGATACTTGCAATGTCCAAAATCAAAAGCATCAAAACAAACTTTAAGTTAGGATGATCTTAGGACAGGTATTATGCTGTTCTAAAGTTAGGAAAAACTTAGGAAAGTTCTTAAAGAAGAAGGTATGGTTTCCATATAAATTTTGCCCTGTGATTTTCTAAAAAATAAAGCTGGTGTGAAAGTTGACAACACATGCTTTTTAAATAATTGAAATTCAATGCAGAAAAATCATACAAGTTATTTTTCTCATATGTGTTTTTAAATGCTTATTATGACGTCATAAACATGTGCATTTTCCCGTATTTTCTTAAAATGTTGCAGAAGACACCTATTTTCAATGGAATTTTCTTTCAGATAACATTGTCCACAGGCATCGCCCACAAAGATCTTGAGATATGTGATTTGTTATTGAATTTTGCACAAAATATCAAAAAATTAACGTGGGCGACGGCTGTGGACACTGTTTTCTAAAGGAAAATCACCCTTGAAATGTGCCATTTTGAGGCTTTTTCTGTTGAAAATGAGAAATGCTTCACATAAACGACGTCATATTTGCAGAATGGTAAACCTTCATGCCATATTCTTTCCTGATTTATCAGAGTCATTTATTTAACTAATATTTAAGCCAGTTTCAAAACTTTTTGATGTCATTTCATTTTTAAGGCGCAATAAAGCTAAAACCATACCTTCTTCTTTAGGAAAGCTTCGAGAAACTGACTTAAGACTAGGACATTTCCTAAGACGATCTTAGGACACACCATGGTCCTAAGATAGCTTCATGAACATGCCTGCAGATTAAGATTTTGATAAAAATTCTTTTATATAATTGAACTAATACTTGAAAAGAATTCTTTTTTTATATGACTTTATAGACAAAAGTAAGAAATATTATTAGTTTTTTTAGGGGTGGGGTCCTTTGTTTTTTATCATATATGAGAGACGTGCACTTGTGTCCATAAATGAGATAGACATTTCTGTTTGCTTGTTAGGTTTTTGTAATTTTTTGAGTTATTTGTTGAACTTTATTGTTTTCCAGTACGAGATTATTTTTTCCTTGGCATTATTCTATCACATACATGTACCTCTAAGTCTTATTGTTAAGAGTGATAGATTGAAATCAATGTGAAAATGTACTTCCTTGCCTGTGTCCTAAATTCCTCTTCTAAACCAATAACTGATCATAAATTTGGGAAGGTTTAAATAATTTATGTCATTCAAAAATTGGGGTATTTAAAAAACAATTTATGTCATTCAGGAAGTTTCTATCTTTTCAACGATCAGGAGACCACTGACAATACATCTCTAAATACCAATACCTACCACAGATATGAATTCCAAAATACTGCTGAATTTAAAGATTAAATGAACCTCATACGGCTTTTTCTGGTAGGATAATTTAGTAACATTTGGATAAATAATTACTTGTATATTTTCATTTTCGCTTGAATGCTGAAGTTTTGAGTTTAATTTACGTATTCTCTGCATTGCCTAAACATTTCAAGTATATAAAAAGACTTTTGTTGAACTACTATTAATTTTTATGATAAAATTAGAACATTTCTAAATCAAATTTTGAAGAAAATAATTAAATTTTTGGTAACCTATCTTAAAAAACAGAAGGATTTTTATGATTTAATATCTTTTCAAAACTCCTAGTAATGTATGTTGAATTTTTGTCCACTAACTTTCACTATGATTCAAAGAAATATCTGTTAGATTAGAATGGATCTGAATAATTAAACTTACTTTTTCTTTAATTTAAGGACGTTCGATCCTGATATTTTGAGCGTATTTCGCGCAGGTCCTTAATTCATGAAATTAAGCATCATTTTTAGGCTCTAACAATAAAACTGAATTCTACAATGCAATTTAAACTATATTCAATGAAAAAACCGCAATTAACTTCCATTCAAGTAGAATTAAGCCAAGGACTATATTTTGTGGAGGAAGGATTTTTAGACGAAAATGATCAGTTTTTTCCATTCGAACAATAACAGTACTGTTAATTTTGGACGCCTATTTTTCCATGCTAGTTGCACACAAAGCTGTTTTTTGCAGTGAAATATGTTATGCTGGTTCTGAATTATCTATTAAATTATTTCTTATGAATTCTGTCAACAAAGTGTGACAAATATAGTAAATATATTCTGAAAATCCGGGAAAAAATTGAGCCAATTTTAACGTAAAATTCACACTTTTTTAGTAATATCTGAAAATGTACATCATATACCCCTACTTTTGATGTTCTTTTCTAAATATTCAAGATAACTTTGACCTATTTGCTTAAAATCAGAAAAAGTTTAAGACTTTAAAATAATTTTCTTGCTTATTATATTTTCAATGCCGGAAAAATAACATTAGTGCAGAAAGGTCAAATAATTGATTATGCGAAGCAATTTGAAACTTTTTCTTAGTCACAATTTTTAAGTGTCTTTTTTTAAACAGACTTAGAGTTCATTTTGTTTCATGCTTTAATTGGATAAAAATATTGGAGGGAAAACGTCGAAGATTATTTTTTTAATTAAGACACAAATTTCAGTGCAGAAAGGTCATATTAAATGAACTGTAGCGCTAAAAGAAGCATATTGACCTCCATTTTTTGATTTGAGTTTCAATTAAACTATGTATGTAGAAACTAAAAATATACTTGGCAAAAAAAATTTAAGACTTTAAATATCAGGATCGAACGTCGTTAAATGAGAAAGATTACTATAAACACCTACTCAGAGGTGGGATTTAGTAAATGAGAGGATTTAATATCTCCTTTTTGTGAAAAGAATTCGATCTTGGCAAGTTTGTACGTTAACAATGTGACATACCTTGGGGGTATGATTATGCCTTATTTTCTCGCCCAATATGCAATTTCCCCTCACTTATTTCCGTATTACCCTTCTAAGTGTCTAGATAACTAATAATATATATTTTTATTACAGGCAGTCCACAGAATATTTCCGTTACTTGAGAAAAGAAATCTACTGTAATCCGTATTTAAAAAGAAAAGCATTTAAATAAACTATTAAACAACTTAAAACAAGAAATCTGTGAGCCAATGCTCACTAGTAATACCCCCGCTCTGATGTAAATAAACACTATCATGTTTATATTCACAAATTCAATTACGGGCAGATGCACAGAAAAATTTGAAGTTGATATTTGAACAATTTAGAATCTACACTACCCAATGATGCTTTCACATGTTTCAGCTGTACTGGCCCAGTGGTTCCTAAGAAGATTTTTTGATGACTCCACCCTATTTTTTCTTTTGTCTCCTCTTGTGGGGGATGTTGCTCTTGATTTTAGGAATGGCCAAGTTCCGCAATGTTTTTTTAATACGAGTTATCGTCCCTAACTGTGAAGCTCTCCACTTCCGGGGCGTCAATACACAAAGCAACAAAATCGCTGAAGCAAGAAGCGTCGAGAAAATACACACTATCGGTATCGAGGACACTGACAAGCCAGGTAAGGGATTTAAATAGCGGTCGTATTTAGGATGTTACACTGGTTTACGATGCATATTAATATAAAAGCAGTACAGAGTTGGTTCTTGAATCTAATACACATGCAACAACCATAAGGATCTAGTATATTCTAGAAAAAAAAAATGTCAATATTTATAAAGGTCTATATACATATATCTATTTTTTTAAAGTATAGAATTTATTTTTATTCGACGAGGAATGAATATTTACAGCTGTCAAGTTGTGTTCATAAGAAAATCTAACATTGCCCCCCCCCCCCCCCCCCGTTGTGTAAAAGGCATTGTTTAATTCGCAAAACAATTCAGTAACATGTAAATAATTTTGAATTCATAACATAATTTATTTTAAAAGGACATGAATGTCAATTGTAACATTTTTTTTTTAAAAAAAATTCCTTTTTAAGTACTTTACAATGTACTTTTTATTTTCCAGTATGGGGAAGAAATATTGCTGCGTTCCTGGATGCAGCAACACTTCTCAAACATTGGATGAATATGGAAATAAAATAATATTGCATCGCTTCCCTATGTCGGAGAAAAAGGCCCATATTAAGCGTCTCTGGATTCAGCGACTTCGACATGTGAGAGCAAATTTGGTTGTAAAAGACCACACACGAGTTTGCAGTGTTCATTTTGAGGGAACATTTACTGAGGAATCGATTCCCACAATTTTTCCAAGTAAACCCAAAAAGGAAACAACAAAATCCCGAAGACCTCTTGTAAGAAAAATTGAAAATTCATTTCAAAATGATGGTTCAGGGCAAAGTGATACTGAAAATCCACAAGATAATCCTGTGTCAATGTACAATGATGTTGCAATACAAACTGACCTCAAATATTTTTATTCAAAAGATGCGTACACAAATACAGAAGAGCATTGTGTACATGTTTCAACTGCAACCCAGACGACTGGCAGCCCTTTGTCTACTGTTAATGCTGAAGTTCAGGCAGATTTGCCTAGGATGACATATGAAGATATGAAAGATGACGATTCTAAAACAAGATTTTATACAGGTTTTGCAACTTTTCAAATTTTTTGGATGTTTTTTGCAGTGCTGAGGCAGAAACATGGTGCAGAGAAACTCAATTACTGGGAGGGAGAGACAAGGTCCATGGGTGAGAAGTCGTATCATGAACCAGGGGTTAAAAAGCCTGGCAGAAAACGTTCCTTGAGACCAGTGGATGAATTCTTGATGGTTTGCATGAGACTTCGTTTAGGGCTGCTTCAGGAACACCTTGCTGATATTTTCAGGGTGTCCGAAACGACAGTATCACGAGTAATGAACACTTGGATTAACTTCCTCTATAATCACTGCAAATCCTTAATAAAGTGGGTCTCCAGAGAGCAGATTTTGTGTAACTTACCAAAGCTTTTTAGCATGCACGCAGATACTAGAATTGTGCTTGATTGCACAGAATTTTTTATTGAAAAACCGTCCTCTTTAAAGGCACAGTGGATGACGTGGTCCGAATACAAACATTCAAACACTTTTAAAATATTGATTGGTGTGTCACCAAGTGGTATGGTAACCTTTGTGTCAAGACTGTGGGGTGGGAATGTGTCAGACAGACACATTACTCAGCACGATGGATTTCTTCCAAAACTGTCACCAGGTGATGTTGTAATGGCAGATAAAGGTTTCACAATAGAAGATTTGTTACCAGCTGATGTTGGATTGAATGTTCCACCACGAGTATCAAGTACATGCCAGATGTCAAAACATGATTTCTTTAAAACAAATAGAATAGCTTCAGCCAGAATAGTAGTTGAAATGAAGATGGAACAGATCAAAAACTACAATATTGTGAACTCAGTTTTACCAATTTCAGAAGTGCACTTATCAGAACAAATTATAGTTATCTGTACATCTTTAACTAACTTATTGCCTCCACTTCTGAAGTGACATAAATATAATTAACTAGATTTTTTTCTGGATGCCCTAACATGTATAATTATTTTTATTCCTGTTATGAGGAAATTTACTTTCCAGGAATTATTTTTTTAAATGCATGATTAAAAAAACACATTTAAAGTATATCACATTTTGTGGTTTTCAAGGTGATGTGAATTTTGACGATTCGATGTGAAATACAAACATTCATTTGAAAATAAACTTGAAATATGTACACTTGGACCTTGAAATCATAAATGAGATGTGGATAAATAAAATAAATCACATAACCTTTTTGTTTTTATTCAATATTTTTACAGATGAATCTAAGCTCTCATGCAAATATAAAAGTTTCAGAGTGTTAACAGTTTTATGTACACATGTTCAAAATCAAATAGAATCATTCTATGCAATATTCAAATTATTAACAAATGTACATCAAATGTTATACATGTACAGTGATTTTCCTCGCTGAATTCTTCTAGTGAAAAGTTCTGGTACAACACCATATGTATAAAAAGATTTCATCTTTGGAACCATATCATTCCAGATTCCAACATCAAAAAGAATTCTTTCAACAGATATACCTTTTTTTGTATAAACAACAAAATCAACCCAGTTAAGTTCATATAATGCTAGCTGGCCTTGAACTTGGTACATATAATTATGGTTCTGTTTTAATTTAAGTTCACCATTGTTTTCAGTGCAAAAAAAATGTTTATCTTGTCCACATTTTGTCGGAGGCATATTCCTCCAAGGACTTTTTTGTTTTCCATAAGGACACTTGACTTCGACAAGTCCTGTACCACATTCTACACAAGTAACAAGTCCATCAACACTGGCCCCAAGGAATGGGTACTTAGGGTTGACATATAGTCCACAGGACTCGATCTTCACATCACCACACAAATTTAAATGTCGCTCCATATAATCACTCAAAGCAACAGATTCATTTGTTCGACCATAACTGATACTTTTTACACAATCTGGTACTACTACGTATCCACAAATTTTCTTGACTAAATTGTCTGGTTCGGACTTTACTCTTTTGACAACGTCACCCATTACTGATGCAGTAATGATATTGCATCTAGCCTTTCTCCAGTTAACATTTGAATTTTGACCTCTAGTTCCCTTTTCTAACAGTTCACTAACCTCTGTTGTTATATTCATATTGTTTACAAAAGATTTAAAATTTTCAACACATTCTTTTGATTTTAGATTTACATTGTCCCTATACATAAAATCTGGCAAAAAAATATTCAAAAAGGAATCTATATTAACATGCTCTGCTCTTAAAGTTTGATACAAGACACATTGTGGGTAAATATCTTTTAAGCCATCCAAAATATCATTCAAAAATGAGCTGCATTCACTTTGACAAGGTCCAGGATTATAAATGCCTGGGAAAGGACGAACTTTGTCTACAATATTATCTTTTTCTGTTTTTGAAAAACTAATATCTCCAACTCTTTTTGGACTTGGTTTTCTTCTCAAAGGTGTAGGTCTATTCCACACACACTGATTAGATGTACAGGAATTTTTTGTTTTTACAAGTACATACAATAATGCTCCAACATGAGCACAAAGACCTGCCTCTCCGGCTTTACAATTACATAAAGCATTTACAACAATGCCTGACTTTTTCTTTATACAAACATTCAAAGAATAATATTTAGCACTTTTTCCAAATCCAACTTGAACAGTCTGTTTCATTGATGGAAGACAAGTTGATCGCATGTAACAAAAATCACTGTTTCCTTTATTGTATTCAATTTCTCTTATGAACCCTTCATTGCACAGACGCTTTGCTTTTTTCATTTGTCTCTCGAAATTTAACCTTTCTCCAGTTACAGGATTTTTATGACATTTAAAATAAATATCAATGGCCTTATGAGAAATTTCAGGAATATCAGTAGAGTCAAGTTCTTTCCATGAATCTGTTGAAGGATGAACAGGAACAGTTTTCTCTATTTCTTCATCTGTATCTATGAAATCTTCTGATGAATCATAACCATGCCTCATGGCTTTGTAAACTCTCTTTGCCAATACCTCTTTATTCCCAGATTTTTTAAGCCTGTGATTTTCAAGCCAATTTTTTAGTTCAACAACTTTCCATGACTGAATTTCTTCTAGAGACAAGTGAGATGGTTCACCTTCATCATCAGTGCTTGAAGACATTCTGAAACATTCAATATTGTATATTAATACAGATTCAGAAAACACACAGTGCCCAAATAACTTAAAAGGGTTTCATAAAAATTGAATGTAATTAGGATCCCAAGATGTAATTTATGTAAACAATTATTGATATCATATCAATATCATATAAAGACATAATCCGAGATTCCCCTGACTCTAACCCCTGCTTTTATTTTATGACATGTGCGGACAAACGTCATAAAATAAAAGCGGGGGTTAGAGTCAGAGGAATCTCGGATTAATAAAGACACCCCCTTTTTTCAGAATTAAACGCTGTTGGATGGTCACATATTCAATTATTCCGACAATATTACATTACTGTTAATATTAAACAGTTATTAAATCATAATTTCAATGTCATCTACATTCGGTTCGAACAGGGTCGATCTTAGACCTTGCAATAGCCAATTCAGTTGAATATTTAAATGCCACGCGAAAACGCTGAGCATTTATATTTTATTATTTGTATACCATTTACCACGTTTAGATAATGGTTATAAATCTTTAAATAAATTAATTATACAGATATATCGCAAATCTTACCTTGGTATGTCCTTGTCTAACGCAGAAATTGCAATTATCAGTACTGTGAGTACACAACACAAGTTGAACAACAAACGCCCCGGAAGTCAATGTGTTGGCGACATCTAGCGATTTTTCAAGAGAGATAACTCCAGAAATAAGACATTGCGGAACTCAGCCATTATAACTCCTCTTTTTCCAAGGATGCTTTGTACCACTTTTGGTTAAATTCTTCTCAGTGGTTCGTAAGAAAAAGTCAAAAATGTAAAAAAAAAAAAAAAAGAAAAAAAAAACCAAAAAAAAAAACCAAACCTTTACAGACGAACGAATGGATGGACACACAGACGGACGACCTTTAGAATGTGATCAGAAAAGCTCATCTGAGCCTCGGCTCAGGTGAGCTAAAAACCGATTGAACAACAAATATTACCCATCCACAGGAGTGGACTTATCCTGGCTGCCGACCTGTTCCATGCATCTTTTACACTCCGGCGGGTTTGGACATATTGAAGGCAAAGTCTTGAAGGGGTCCTTTATCCTCTTATTGTGTATTGAATAACCATTTTCCTCCAAAGTATACCGACCGATCTATGGAAACAGATAAATTATTTTCTTAGCTATTATATTTATTCATTATTTAATGCAATACAATAAGATAACAACCGGTGATCCATCTAGAAAAATCTACCAACTCATGGAGGAGGGAATAAAACATGAAGTCAAGTCATTTGAAGGAGTAAGCTCTTCTTGTTGACCAGTAAAGCGCAACTTGAGCTCTATATTATATTGATTCTAATATGTATTCCATAGTCAAATTAAGTATAAAACACAGGCCTAACAATTGGTATGAAACAAGGCAGTCATACCCCCGTTCACATAAAGCTGCGATTTTACCAGGATCATCCCGATCAAGCCAAGATCTAAAAAAAATTTGGATAGCGGCGGATCGGAGCCAATCGGCGTCTAAATCGAGCAATTGGGCAAATTATGGTCTTCTTAACGAGCGTACAACGATGTCCCTACGTCAAACCCATGCGAAAACGCTTCTACTACGATGTTTCGCAGACCGTTGCCGACCAACGGCTTAGTTTACTTCGTTTACGCTACGCTGCCGCTACGACATTCAAGATCATACTACGACGCTACGCAGACCTAGATGACTGTGCGACGATATCGCTACGGCCAATCAAATGGATCCTATTTCGATTTTATCATGCTTCTAGTACGATTTATGTGATTGTATATGTATACATGAATCTTGGGTTTGAAACATATTTTTCATTTCTGTCCAAACTTCAAACATGAACGGACGCTGGTCTGATTCATCTGGCTTTACTTCATGATCAGCAAGAACAAACACAAGTACTTGAAATTGCACAGATATTTAACAGGGGTTTACGGGTCATTTTCAACTGTAACAGAATATGAAAAGTTCGAAATTTCAAATGCAAATGATCGTCAAATACAGTTTCACCCTTTACATGTAAGTTACAGATGATGCTTGGTCAAATATCAGCGCTATATAACAAAATGCTGCCGTTGTATGATCGGAGTAAAATCATTGCTGGTCTTCGTAGGATCGTCAGAAACGTAGACAGATCAAAGTGGGAACGTAGTAAGAACTTAGTGGAAGTCTTGATAAGTTCCCGACTGTACTACGCTTTACTGCACTTTTACTACGATCATGAAGATTTTTCCACGATGTTTCGAGCTAGCTGCTTGAACGATTACGGTGCTTTTACTACGCTCTCTTTACGGCTTTACCCCGATTCTTGTTGGTCACGATCCCGCTACTCTTGTTTTCAGCATGTTCGCGTGGCGAGGGCGTAGAGCTCTCCGATCATGAAGACCCTACCGCGATCATACTGCGCTTATGAAGACTCCACTGCCTTTCTTCTTCGATTTGTCACGATCGGCCACGTTTTCGGTCACGCTTTGATCGTAGAAGAAGCGGAGTCTATGTGTGAACAGGAGCAAAGCACTGTCCTGATAGGTTAACTTTTTTGTAAATTCATTATAACGACCATATAGAATATACAAAATTCTTACTTACTTGGGTTTCATTGTTTTAACTTTATATTTTTATAAAGCAGTTGCTGCATGGGCGAAGATAGTACACAAGACCAAAGAAAAATTTAATATTAATTTGAATTTAAAACGAATAAATGCAATCATTGTGTTTGCCCACAAAGGTTCATAATCCATATTTTTAACATTATCATAAAATTAGTTACCTATTTGTAAAAAAATGGACTATGTTACTTTAGGTATTACTGAAGCAAAATCAAGAATTTGATTAAAATGTACATTTAGTAAAAGTTTGCCATTAGTACGAAAGCCCTGGAGGGACATGGACTTACTTGTTATGACTTATTTGTTGTGACTTATTTATTATTTTTTTGCTAGTGATAACTAAGTGTAAAGTAGATATGGAAATTGTTTTCACGTTTATTATAAAATGAATGTTTAGATCTCATTTAACTATTTCTTTATGAATTGTAGTAAATAAACCTGTCTGTATCATATATTCTAAGAACAAAATCGATTATATTGTTATTTGTCCTATAAGCTATTTTATTTTTGTTATCATATGTTTATTTAAACCAAAAACACGTCGTGAGAGATGAAGGCTTCTTGTAGTTTCAGAAAAAAAAATCACCATATTTTGCCTTTGAATCTATTACTAACAAGATAAAATGTTTGTTATATTCATGTGTTCATTCATTATGCAAACTGGAAGTTACAAATGAAAATTAATTAACAACTCTTAAGTAACAAGAAATCATATTTAGAAAATGACACTTAGGTCATAACAAAAATAAATCAACAGATAAGAAGTAGTCACATTTATATTAGATATAACACTACATTTAATCAATTAAAAACCATAGTTAAGCTAGATCTAAATATATCATTTAAGCCAAGATACACGTTCTACATAGCTACGTTACAATTAATTTAAAATATCGACAAATAATTCATAACATTTAAGTTACAACCAAAAGGCTATAACAAATAAGTCAGAACAAGTAAATCAATGTCCCTCCAGGGCTTCCGTAGTCATCGTTAAAAAAATTTACACATATAATAATATATTAAAGATGAACATGGCTCGTAAATAGGCATACGCGAATTTTGGTATCATTATCTACAAACAATCAATACCAGGGAATACTCTTCGCATTTGTTACACCTGACTGCTTTATTGTCACCGGTATCAGCGTGGAATGAGGACCCGTGTTCGTGCTGGTTATCTTGCATTACCTTTGTTTAAATTTTATTGCATTTACGCGTGTCTGTGTTAGTTTGTAAACTGCACTAACCTGTACAACTATAATTGTAAGTTTCTTTGGTATCATACTTTCCTGCATTAGAAGAAATATGTAATTTTGTTTACCATACGTCCATCTACACCGGTTTCGACTGATTACACTGAACAGTGTATAAGTCAAACCCTCTTTATAGGGGTTCCTCAAATATAGCGAGAATCCGAACACAATGGCGGACTCATTCCTTTTTATGAGTCGTGTTCAGCTTTAAAGTATAAAAGTATAGATTACAACTCAAATAGAACACTACCTCCAAAAATAGGATCTGTACCTGAGGATTTCCTTTGGACTTGGTATATTTTATATCTTACATTACCATCACCGTTTACGTTAAATACTTTGACTGGGTAATTATCAATCATGATTTTTTTCATTTTAAATCACTTTGTAAACCTTTACAGAATAATCTCGATATTTTTGACATAAAGTAGAATGAAATAGAAAACCTACTTCAACAAATATCAGTTGACTGGCATCTGAGGCCTTCCTCTGGACTTGATATATTTCATATCCCTTATTACCATCGCCATTCTCATCAAAAACTTTGGATGGAATCTTATTTTCATCAATCACCAGTTTTTCATTCTTTATCTTGTCGTAGACGTCTTTTGGAGATTTTCGATATTTTTGACATAAAGTAGAAGACTGGCTGCCACAGAGATCAGCAAAAGATTTATTTGTTCCTTGCAGAAGAGAAAACATGGCATTGATAGCAAAGGCGGTCCATAGTTCTGGTTGATAGTCTTGGTTGTTGAATTCAGCTTTAATGTCTGCACACTTAGATTTAGAGTGTTTGTTAAAGCTACCCGACAGAAAACATTTATTTCTCGTTTCAAAGTATTCTTTTGTCCAAGGGTTTATATCATCTCCTTCAGCAAGTATATCGTGCAAATATTTCTCAAATTTGGATTCTCCAGTGTCAGGTGTCATTTGGAGTGACAACGAAATGGTTCCTTCTAGTTTATGCTTGCCAGCTATTATGCTTTGTTGTTTTCCAAACGCCTCAGAACCTATAAAAAGATATGGCCAAGGATCTATTGACTTGTCTAGCACGGTCATTACTTCCTGTACAACATGACTTCTTAAAAAAAGAAGGACAACTGTAGCATACGGCGTTTTTTGAAGATTGTCACGGATCTTTGCGTAATCACCCTGTGGAACTTTGATTTCATTTGCAATGCATATTTTCATATCGTTAGCTGCGCGTATAATAGCGTTTCTTCCTCCTTCGCCATAGCTTCCTTCACTGTACATAATCTGTATGTACGAAGAATTGAGTGTTTTCACTATATTAACCATCGCAAGAGCTTGTTTATCGTCAGGAGTACACGTGCGCATGAAGTATTTATAGGTAGTTCTGTTACTTAACACGGCAGCAGTGGAGGCGTAACTTATTTGAGGAAGATCAAATTTCTGAAGTATACTTGCTGTTGCTATGCTGATTTCGCTGCCATATGCAGCAACAAATCCAAGAAGCTTACTTGCAACATCTAAAACATGCGAACCGTTAGATAATTGCATCCTTTCTTTAAAAAACCCTAAAAGTTTTTCTTGAATAAGAAATGGTTGGTTACAACTATTGAAAATAATGTATCCTATTTTATTCCTTCCAAACATCCAGGCAAATCTACCTAGTTTTTTATTTACTGTTTCTACTGCGAACCTTATTCCTTCTACAATTTCCCATCCATTTGAATCTCGAATAAGTCCACACTTTATAGGATCATTGGAGTCTTTATTAAACACAGGAACAACTGCCCCGACATAAAAGTCGCCTTCTTTAAAAATAATTTCATCAAACAAATTACTATTTTGACATGATTCACATTTTTTCCCATCTTTACACTGTGCTTTTATAATATCTGGCCATGATAAACCATTCGCGTTTTCCGTGTAGTCTCTGAGTAACGTGGTATTTAAATCTAATGTTGTATTGTTGTAATTCCCAACCTACATAAAGATGACAAAAATTCAGATATAAGACCAAAACAATTTGTTTATATGTTTTTAACTGTTTAATATCGCATTAGTCGATTTTTTTTATATTTAAAATTTGATGACATTGTCGATGATCTTATGAAATGGATGTAAAGAATAATAAAATTAAGAAAACTCAGAAACATTTAAATGTATTTTGGTATTGATACACTGTATAAAAATCATTTATTCGGTTAAAAAGAAAAAAATCATGTTATGTCCTAAAATATGCTTTTGAAACATGGGTAAAATATGTAAGCAACAGAAACTGTCAGCTGAATCTATATTGTAGATAGGAGAGTCAATAATAAATCCATCAACAAAATTCATCTTTAAGCAGACTGATAAATATTTGTAGGTCATTTATTTATTTCCTGCTTTTATATTACTATCGACTATGTTTACAATTCATAATAATAAAAATGATTTCATTTAAATGAAAGTACAAAACCAACACAATCACTACCGGGATATATATATATATATATATATATATATATATATATATATATATATATATATATATATATATATATATATATATATATATATATATATATATATATATATATATATCAGGCTTGGGGTAATGCTAATTGTAATGGTAATGCATTGCAATGCATTACATGAACTCAAAGTAATGGTACTAATGTGTAATGCCCAAAAATTTGCATTACATGTAATGGTAATGTAATGCATTACTTCATAAAATCCAGTGTAATGCTGGCATTACATAGCATTACAAAGCATTATTTTCTATGTACCTATTTTAAGAAAATAAAATGGACATGGAAATTATTGTTTAGGTTTTTATTGCTTTTTATTTTATTTATTTTTTGCAAATGATAAAATTGAATGAAAAAAAGTTAACCTTTTATTTGAATTTTCAAACTTATTTTAGATCAGATTTGATATCAAAGAATCATTTAGAAATAGTTTTAAAAAATCTTCTTCTTTTTATTTTGAAAACCTCTAAAAGTAATGGTAATGGTAATGCATTACTTTGCTTAAGTATTGGTAATGTAATGCATTACTTTGAAAAAATTGAGTAATGGTAATGGTAATTTAATGCCCAAATTGTTGAAGTAATGGTAATGTAATGCATTACTTTGCAATGTAATTCGCCCCAAGCCTGATATATATATATATATATATATATATATATATATATATATATATATATATATATATATATATATATATATACATATATGTCCAAATAACTGTATCTCACTTCTATTCTCAATGACCGTGTAGTGTAGGGCAGCGCCGCGAGAATTCCATCGGCGTCGAAAGCAAGTTTTTTGATAGCCGAGCGGTCTAGCGCGCTGTTCCTGCTCTGCTAGGAGACAGATTCCGAAGGTCGTGAGTTCGACCCCGGGCTGGGGCGGAAGTGGGTATCCATGTAAAAGTGAATTTCTTTGTGCTTTCTATATATATACATATATATATATATATATATATATATATATATATATATATATATATATATATATATATATATATATATATATATATATATATATATATATATATCAGGGAGAGAGAGAGAGTTCTTTTTCCATGCCTTTTTTTACTTACTTTCACTAAGCAAACTTCTTGATTCTCGCGTAGACAATATCGAAAGTGATGAACTTCATATTCAGGTAGATTTCCAAAAATATAAGCATTGGGATTTCCTTTGAAAGTTATTTCCAAGGGTTGTTGTAGTTCATCAGGAATATCTCCCTTTAAACTGACTTTGGCGTTTCTTCCCATTAACACCAGTTTATAAGCATTGTCCCACAGCGTGCTGTTGAGATTAGTGCACAACCCATCAACTCCTTCACACATTTCCCTGTGGAGGTCTCTGAGAATTTTGGCGTGTAATATTGTAGATATGATTGCATAACCTTCAAACACATTGAGACCAGTTACAGAATCCAGGTCATCTTTGGTAGGCATTGAACAGGAAGGGCTTTGAATATCACAAGAAACAAACTTTTTGAGCCAGGGATTAGATAACATTTCCTGACTGAAAATTGTTTTATTACTCAGAACATTTACCCAATGGGTTTTAAAACTTTTGAAGGATACCACAGGAGGGATAGAAAAGAAAGATCCTTTAGATACATCATATAGCTTCAAAGTATTTTTGTCTATAGTAGAAGACCCTTCTGAGAAAATCAGTCCAAGTCGGAATATGTAATTTTGTTTTAGTTTGTTGACAACATTGAGTAACACTTTAACAGTTTTAGTAGAAGCAAATACAATAACTCCTGTTATTGTACTTTCAGCATGAAAAATAACTAAATCTATAGCTTTCTGCAGTTCTTGAGATTTTACAAGTCCATTTTCCTGTGAAATAGCTGAAGAATATGCAATGCATATTTTCTTTGCTTTAGCCTTGCTCTCAAATCCTTGAAAGTTCCCTATCCCATATGCATTGTTTTCGTATATGACACCAACATAGTTCCAGTCAAGTATTTCCATGAGAGAAATGATAGTCTGCAAAAAACCATCCATAGACTTGTTTACTTTCTTATGAATAGTGTTTTATTAGAATTAAACAAAAACAAGACAATAAGACATGAATTTTATATGAATCTTAAGTATCTCTTAACATCGATTAATATGATTCTTGGTATTATTTGTGCAATCTTTATCATCTCCTTATTTACGACATAACTGCAAACACTCATTATAAATATAAAGATAAGGAATAGAACTCAAGTTTAAAAATTAATTAACATGTATTTTTTGACAATTAAGTGTGCAAAATGTAAGTCAGCTTTCGACTTAATGATAAATTGTTCTTTACTCATACCCATTACTCCTATTGTATTAAGCAAAGAATGAACAAAGTGTTAAACTGATACAAGACTCACTGTATCATAAACTTATTTGTCAATAGCTTGCCCTGTTGTAAAAAAAATGCTCATTGTAGAGCTTGTCCCTGCATATCAAAGCAATAAAAGACATAAGTTCCATGTGCAAGTGATAATAATGTAATGGTACCAAAAATAAAGGAAATTGATAATAGAAACATTTTTAAGATGTGGTGGTGGGTTAAATTTCAACGCATTTAAGAGCTAAATAGCAATGCATAATACAAGCTGGATAACTGGTAATGTTTGCGTTAATTCAATTTCGCGCGCTTTTTGTGTGTTAATTTAGATCGCTAAGATGTAATTTGCATAAAACTGTCATTGATTGTTTACATTTTGTACTATATAAATTACATTTGTATATATGAAAAAATGTGGGCATCTTTTTGCACAAATTATGCAAAAAAAACCACAAAAAACAGCTATACGTATGTTGAATCATAAGTATGAATGAAAAAGATTATTGTTTCCGTTAGAAAGTCGTGTCTTCATGTTGAACTGAACGCCAAAGCAAATTTCAAAGAATTTTGCTGTTTCTGTAGGGTTTTTATTTTATCTATGCATTTGTAGGAGTCTTAAAAACACACATAGTTACGTAAATACTGTATATTTTACATTTATGTATGAATGCTGGTTAAATCTTCATGTTGTGATTCCACCCAAACTATATTAATTATATTTTTGTTACAAGTTAAGAAAACAGTCTTTTATCGTTCATAAGGTATGCATATACGTAAGCCTTTAAAAAAAAAGGTGAAAAGAAACAATCCTTATTGCCTTTTGAAGAATTTTCACTTGAACCTTTTCATTAAATGAAAAAGAAAAATATTTATGCTTTCAATACACAATTCAAATATATATTCTTTAACACCAGTGACTTGTATGCAGGGGACACAGATTTTACATTATTAATGCACGGAGAGAATTATATTATATAATCAGACTTACTATCGGACAAACAGACAGATAAGATTAATGCTCATTGGAATGAGATATGCATAATTTATTTCCATTACCAATATTTGTTTGGAATCCTCTGGGATAACCCTTAAGATATTTTGAAATTTGTTCCCATCACTGAGGGCTGAGGCGGTTGTTGAAAAAAGTGTTTGTAGAATTAAGTTATTTTTCTCCAACCCACTGATGTATGACGATACGTCTACCGCTTCATGACTATATTCTGGACCAACCAAGCCTGGACAAAGTTATGAATAATTACAGATTATTTGTATTATATAAACTTTTAGGGATGCTATCTGGCCTGGGGGCCATAAAACTAAGACAAGCTCACTTTTGATCTCAGTTTCACTTTTTCCAAAGAAAATAATAGGGGAAAATTATGACTGAGATCAAAAGTAAGCTCGTCTTAGTTTTATGGCCCCCAGGCCTGGTAACTCAGTTTGGAATATTGGTGTTATGGTCTTGCATTATTCTAGCAATTTTGGGAGACATGTTAGTTTAATTAAACTTGAGAAGTGTTTACTTTTGAAAAAAGTATTTATTTTTTATGGATTATGAAAGTATAAGCTTTGAACACCAGCCATATTTCAAAAAATGGTTAAAGTTGATAAAAAAAAAATAATCATTCATGTATCTTTAAACAATTTTGATTGATATTTAAATAATTCAATTTTCTACCTCATAGTCCAGCACTGTAGCTCTCGTATTCAACGTTCAAATATAATGTTTGAACAATGTTTTCTTAAATTGAATTTCAGCATGGGAATAAGTATAGTAGGTAAAGCAAACCAGAAAAGTAATATAATTGAAATAGGTTGTACCTATGACTGGAGTTGCATTGGATTTCATTGGTTCATGAAATTTTCTATTTATCATTCGTGTTGTATGTTCTAAAGCTCTTCCGTAAACATTGCATGTAGGGAATGCTTCTATACCTATTTTAAATTAAAAAAAAATAATATGAACAACTCAAAATTGTGATTTAAATTTAGTTTTAATTAAAAATTTCGATTATATTGTACCAAAATGCAACAGCGATATCAAGGAACTTCAGTAAATCATTAAAAATTCGACGTCTTTTGCACTATTAGTATAAATAGATTATTTTTCTCACCAAGTTTTATTCCTGGAATGTAATTTGCCTCATTTAATTTCTTTAGTGTCCATTTCACAGCTTCAAAGTTTCGAATGGACGTTGCTTGTATTTCATTTTTACATTCCCTATCACCAAATATTTCAAACAGTCCTCCAAGATGAACATGTCCTTGCATCACAGCGATTTCATCAGCAGAATCGGACAATAAAGGGTTCCAGAAAATTATTGCAGAAAAAAGAAATCCTATCATGTTTATATCAGTAAATATCTGTGGAAGAAAAAAAGGCACATGGTCAACATTGCTCACATGAGCACTGTGACTTGGAAAAAAGCAGGAATCAGTTCAGTAATGAAAAGTTTAAATCCATAAGTCTTCACAGTCCATCCTTAAAGAGTATGATTTGAACAAACTTGAATCTACACTAACTAAGGATGATTACATATTTTTTTGACCAACTGATGCTGTTCCACCGTTAAGTTTCGTCTTACATCGCCCCTACCAACACCCAATAACCACCCAACCCAACCACACCTACTCACGGTCATGATTTGAACAAATTTAAATCTACACTACCTTGGAATGCTACCATATAAATGTGAACAATCATAGCTTTACTGTTTTTTTTAAAGATTTTTTAAAAAATTTTTCCTGTATATTCCAATGTAAAATTTGATTGTCCTTTGTTGCCCCGTCCTTCCCTTGAAGATCATGATTTGAGAGAAAAAAAACTTGAATTTACATTACCTGAGGATGTTTCCCTATACGTTTCATCTTTCCTGTCACGGTTGTTCTTGGGATATTGAGATATGTTTAACACGCCACCAAATTTACATTATTTCTGAATTATCACCTCTAAATGAGGACGTGACCCTTTATAAAACAAACATGAAACCCTTTACCCAAGGTTTCTTTGTGGCAAGTTTGGTAAGAATTGGTCAAGAGGGTTCTGAAGAAGTCGAAAGTGTAAAACGTTTACAGACAGACGGCGTGTAGACAAACTGTGATCGAAAAAGCTCATTTGATTCCCGTCAATCAATTTCTGTAAATACATGTATTCAGTTGTAAATGTTTCCAGTCAAAGAAAGAAATATAATCCCATCAATGTCAAAGTCATATCTGCCGATTATCACCATCAATCAAGATAACAATATTTTTGTTTTAAACCTTCTTTTTTCCAAATATTTAAGTTTATCTTTGTGGGTCAACTTAAAATTCTTTAGTTTTAAATGACAGATATATCATTTTAATGCTTGCCAAAGATGTATAGATAGGATCACAGGTTGTTTAAATCTCGTAAAGAAAGATAGATTTGTATGCTGAATAAATATTGAAAAAAAATTATTTCAATGAGTCTTTTAAATTATTGCTCTTTTCAAATTTTAGGAAGACGACTGGTTTTAAAATCCAGTCATAAAAATTGTTAAAGAAATGGGTATAGTTTTGGTTTTATTCTTTTTTCTGCCCCGATATATGATATTTCCAAAAGTGTTCAATTAATTATGAATTAAATAAATAAATATTATGAAAAGGACTAGATATTTTATAAGTATTGAACGTTCAGGAAATATGACGTCATTTACCTGTCAAAATATCTGTTCAGGCGTATTTCATTTTTCTATTTTTCATAACAAGATCTTTTGGGGGTATCTATATTTTTGCCTGTTGACCTTGAAATTTGAGCTAAATTGATAAAGCTTTATTTACTATATTTCCCGAGCTGTAACAATTAAAATATTTATGCATCAACCAAAATTTTGGGACAAAAAATCATTTTGACCTCAATACCCCGTCTTGCGAAAAGTGGCAAAGCGTTTACTCTGGATTGGTGGAGTAAGGAGTCGATCCTTACATCAAGCTATTGTGTCGCAGCAGGTACAAAACAAACCAAATACTGATGCCCCCGTAGGCCAACAAAGAGAAGGTTAAGCTTTCTCAAATGCAGATCAAATATGTTGGTACCTAAAGTAAACCCTTTTCACAAAAAATACAGATGTGAAATATAAAACCCTAGCACCACCCGTTCAAGGTTATGACCAAGTTTAACAGTTTTAAAGGTAAGACAAACTCTGGGGTCAAGGTCAAAAGGTCAAGGTTGTTGGTTTCTAAAGAAAGGCCTTGTCTCAAAGATTACATATGGGAAGTATGAAAGCACTGGCCCCAACAGTTCAAAAGTTATGGTCAGTGTTACAGTTTGTAAAAAAAAAAGTAGGTCACACTCCAAGGTCAAGGTCAAAGGGTCAAGGTTCTTGCATCCAATAAAAGGTCTTGTCACAAGGAATACATATGTGAAATTTGAAAGTTCTAACCCCTACTGTTAAAAAGTTATGACCAAGATTAAAGTTTGTGAAAGGTAGGTCAAACTCCAAGGTCAAGGTCAAAGGGTCAAAGTTGTTGATGTCCAATGAAAGGTTTTCTCACAAAGATTACATATTTGAAGTATGAAAGCCTAGCCCTTACCGTTAAAAAGTTAGGACCAAGGTTAAAGTTATTTTTGTAAGTTCGGAAATCTCCAAGGTCTTGTCAAAAAGAATTGATATTTGAAATATGAAATTCGTAGTATCTAGCGTCTATTGAATTAGGGCCAAAGCAAAAGTTTGGAAATTTTTTTGTAAAAGTGGGTCAACTCCAAGGTCAAGGTCAAAGGTTCAAGATTCTTGATATCAATTGAAAGGGCTTGTCACAAGAATTATATATTTGAAAGCCCTAGTCCAACTCCAAGGTCAAGGTCAAAGAGTCAAGATTTTTGATATGCAATAAAGTGTTTTCTCAAAAGGATTACATATGTGAAGTATGACATTTCTTGCATTTACCGTTTAAAGGTTATAGCCAAGGTTAAAGTTTTTTATGAGTGCAGAAATCTCCAAGGTCAAGGTCGAAAGGTCAATTTTGTTGTTATCTCATGAAGGATTTTTCACAAAAAATACATGTTAAGTATAAATGTCCAAGTATCAACTGTTTAAATGATATAGCAGAGGTAAAAGTTCAAAAAATTTTGTAAAAGTAGGTCAAACTCAAAGGTCAAGGTCAACAGGTCAAGTTTGGTGGTACCCAAAGGTCTTGTCACAAGGAATACACATGTAAAATATGAATGTCATAGCTCCACTAAATCAAAAGTTATGGGCAAGGTCAAAGTTTTTGCGGACAAACAGACAAACAGACAGCTAGACAGACAGCTGGACAGACAGACGGACGGACACTACAAAAACTATATACTTCTGAAACTTCGTTTACGGGGGCATAAAAACACAACATGTCCACGGCTTTTGACGTTTTGTTAAAATTTAACCTTGGTCAAATCTTCTGAAAAGCTAATATAATGACCTTCATATTTCACTAAGCATTCCTATTAACAAGACTTTTTAACGACGTTCGATCCTGATATTTAAAGTCTTAAACTTTTTTTGCCAAGTATATTTTTAGTTTCTGCATACATAGCTTAATTAAAATTCAAATCAAAAAATGGGGGTTAATACGCTTCTTTTGCCGCTACAGTACATTTAATATGACCTTTTTGCACTGAAATTTATGTCTTAATCAAAAATTAAATTTTTGACGTTTTTCTTCCAATATTTTTATCCAATTAAAGCATGAAACAAAATGAACTCTAAGTTTGTTTATAAAAAGACACTTAAAAATTGTGACTAAGAAAAAGTTTCAAATTGCTTCGCATAATCAATTATTTGACCTTTCTGCACTAATAAAAAGTTATTTTTCTGGCATTGAAAATGTAATAAGCAAGAAAATTATTTTAAAGTCTTAAACTTTTTCTAATTTTTAGCTTTTAGGTTAAATTTCTCTTGAATATTTAGAAAAGAACATCAAAAGTGGGGGTACATGATGTAAATTTTCAGATATTACTAAAAAATGTCAGTTTTACATTAAAATTGGTTCAATTTTCCCCCGGATTTTCATAATATACCCGTTTTTTCCTCTATATAACTAAGCAAATTTACTCCTGATCTTTCGAACTTCTATCTCTCAAAATTCTCTATCTCTCGAACCAAAACCATATTTCATTGAATTTTACTCTCTATCTCTCGAAGTTTTGATTGCGCTTGTATACACGCCAATCAAGCGTAAAATAGACAGTCTGGACTTACCTGGAAACAGTGAAAGCCATGGGCTGTTAACTGGGTGATTACATAGATGATACTACACCTGTGGGTCGTCCGTGTGTTGTTATAATTAATGGGTTATTTTTCACAGGGTACATTAGAAACAAAGTCACAATTATTTTGAATTGAAACCAAGAAGATAATTCTTTGAAATTAATTTATAGAAGTTCGTTTCAGTAAGTTCCCATAGACTATGAACTTTCATTTATGATTATAAAGAGTTTATATAATCTCAGTAGGGGAAATATTACACAAGAAATTCTTTTCTCAAGAACAGAATACCGATCAAGAAAAATCTGGTCAACACTATCGAAGGACCCGATCAAGCCGCGGAATAGCCAAACCGACAATTGCTATTCGGGTTTCATATAAATAAATCATGAAATACAATGTAGGAACAAATAAACATTGAATCTTTAGGAATTCGTTTTATTTATTCGAAAAACAATCATTGCTGTTGATATCAAGTAAATTACCTGTAAAATACGATTGAAAACGTGCAATGGCATTATTTACATATACTTCCGGTATCTGTAAAGGTAGAACTTCGATGATCCCAACTGAAAATTCCAGATTTTATTTACGTATTTTTTGCGATTGAATTTTTTGCGATTTAGATTTGATCGCAGAATTTCGCAAAAAATAGCACCCCGCGCAAAAAATAGCACCCCGTAGAAAAATCCAGTTATACGGTACTCAACAAAAAAGAAACGCATATTGCTTTACTCGTCAAAGAAATTTTTCAAATGTATATGGAACAACTATCTTTTACATAATTGGATACCTTTGACCTATTTAAAGGACAACATGGGGTTTTAAAACCCAAGTGTTGAATTATCTCCCTTGATTAAACATGTTTATGAAAGTAGTGTTTTTCATGATTTCTTCTAAATCGGACGTCTATTTTCGTTGATATTTTGGATTTAGAGAAACTATTAACACTTCTATTAAACCCATATTTAAGATTTGATTGAAGTGTTGATGCTGCAATGCCAAGCCGAAACTAGATGCTGTCATGAGACAGTAATACCCGCACTATGGTGTTTGCCTCTAAATATACACTCATTCATATTGGACTTTCCAAGGAAGAAGTCAAAATAATTCTATAATTATCACCGTACATGTATTCGTCAAATATTGAACATAA